AAAGAAAGAAAATGCATCGGTAAGATTGGGCTGTAGGGCATTTCTTAATTTGTGACTGATGCAGGAGGGCCTAGGCCATTGTGGGTGGGGTCACCCCTGGGCTGGTGGTCCTGGGTTCTATAAGAAAGCAGGCTGGGGCTGGAGAGATGGCTCAGAGGTTAAGAGCACTGGCTGCTCTTCCAGAGGTCCTGAGTTCAATTCCCAGAAACCACATGGTGGCTCACAATCATCTGTAATGAGATCTGGTGCCCTCTTCTGGCCTGCAGGGATACATGCTGTATACATAATAAATAAATAAATCTTTAAAAAAAAAAAAAGAAAGAAAGAAAGGAAGGAAGGAAGAAAGAAAGGAAGGAAGGAAGAAAGAAAGGAAGGAAGGAAGGAAGAGAGAAAGAAAGAGAGAAAGAAAGAAAGGAAGGAAGAAAGAAAGAAAGAAAGAAAGAAAGAAAGAAAGAAAGAAAGAAAGAAAGAAAGAAAGAAAGAAAGAAAGAAAGAAAGAAAACAGGCTGATGCTGGGCAGGATGATGTTTGCCTTCAATCCCAGGCACTCAGGAGGCAGAGGCAGGTAGATCTGAGTTCCAGGCCAGCCTGGTCTACAGAGTGAGGTCCAGGACAGCCAAGGTTACACAGAGAAACCTTGTCTCAGCAAACAAAGCAGGCTGAACAAGCCATAAGGAGCAAATCAGTAAGCAGCACTCCTCCATGGCCTCTGCATCAGCTCCTGCCTCCAGGTTCCTGTCCTGCTTGAGTTCCTGCTCTGACTTCCTTCAGTGAAGAACAGTGATGTAGAAGTGTATGCCAAATAAATCCTTTTATGGTGGTTTGAATAGGAATGACCCCATGGGCTCATATATTTGAATGATTGGTCATTAGGGAGTGGCACTAATAGGTATGTCTTTGTTAGGGTAGATGTGGCTTTATTGAAGGAAGTGTGTCACTGAGGGTGGACTTTGGGTTTTCAAATGTTCAAGCCAGGCCCAGTGTTTCTCTCTCTCTGTGCTGCCTGCCAGTCCAGATGCAGAACTCTTGGCTCCTTCTCCAGCACCATGTCCGCCTGCGCATGGTCATGGTGTCTTATCACAGCAATAGAAATCCTAACTAAGACACCTTTTCGTAACCAAATTGCTTTCTTTCATGGTGTTTCATTGCAGTAGTAGTAACCCTAAGACAATATGAATGCAAACAACAGTCAGATCTTAGGCCATAGACATTCTTTGACTTGCTTATCCTTGTATAAAATGAAGCACTAACATACCTACCAGGGTAGCATGAATACCTGAACTATCATGATGGTGAGGCTGCAGAGAGAGCCCAACTCAGAGCCCCCCAAATCCTGAGCACACCTGGCTTATACCTGAAGGAACAAGATATTGGGATATATGGGGACAGAAGTAGCCAGCAGGTTCTGCCAGAACCAGAGACCTCACCTCACCAGACACACCTTCAATTTTCTGGGCAATAGGACTCAGGTCTCTCTCTCTATAAAGCTGGTGGATGACCTACCAGCAGGAGGGGATGACTAGAATCTTCTTGAACTCCAGAACCAAACCCCTAAGGATAGGAGCCATCTTTCTGCAATGGGAGAGCCTAGGGTTTGCCTCCAGAATATACCTCCAGTTTTATGGAGCAGGGAAGCTGAGTTTTAGGGGAAAAAAAGCTGATCACTACTCAGCATTTTGGGTACTCTCCTTAATGTTGTAACAGCTTCCAGAAGACCAAGAAAGTCTGGAATTCAAAACAAAACAAAAACCCAGCATGGTGGCAAACACCTTTAATCCCAGCACTTAGGAGGCAGGGACAGACAGATCTCTGTGAATTCGAGGCCAGCCTGGTCTACAAAGTGAATTCCAGGACAAGTAGGGCTGTTACACAGAGAACTGTGTCTCAAAAAAAAATAAAACAGCACTCTCCAAGAGCCAGCAAGATGGCTTACTGGATAAAGGCACATGCCACCAAGCCTGGTGGCCCATGTTCAAGAGCCAGGACACACATGGTAGAAGGAGAATTTTGACCCCTGCAAGTTGTCCTCTGATTGCAACATACTGTGGCACACACACCTACACACACACACACACACACACACACACACACACACACACACACACACAAATACATGTAAATTTTTACCAAATATTTATTTTTAATTGTGTCTGTTCTCATGTGGGTATGTGCACATGAGTGTAGGCACCCACAGAGGCCAGAGGCATTAGATTACTTGGAGCTGGAATTACAAATGGTTGCAAGCTACCTTTTGTGGTGCTAAGACCAAAACCTGGGTACTCTGGAAATGCAGCAAGTGCTTTTAACCACTGAGCCATTGCTGCAGCCTTGATAAATGTAATTTTTTAAAAATACATGTAAGAGGGCTGAACTGGAACCCCAGCTCTAGGGATTCTGACACCCTCTTCTGGTCTCTGTGGGTATCACCACACATGTGGCATATACTCACACAAACTCATATAAAATTTATTTTGATTATTTATTTTTGACCAGGGTCTCACTATGTAGCCCTGGCTGACCTGGAATGCACTGTGTAGACCAGGCTGGCTTTGAACTCAGAGATTCACCTTCCTTGGCTCTGCCTTCCATGTCCTGGGATTAAAACTGTTCCCTGCTGTTGTAGAATATTGCTTTAACTATGTAAAGATGTGTTACATTTGTTTATGTTGTGGAATATTACTTTAACTATTTAAAGAAGTGTACATGTGTTTATGCTGCATTTGTTTAACTATGTAAAGGTGTGTTGCATTTATTTTATCTTGCTTGCTTAAGGCACCTGAGTGGTCTAATAAAAAGCTGAATGGCCAATAGCTTAGGCAGTAGAGAGATAGGTGGGGCTGGCAGGCAGAAAGAATAAGTAGGAGGAGGAATCTAGGCTCAATAAGAAGAGAGAACAAGGGAGATGCCCAGGGCCAGACAGACACAGAGGAAACAGGAAAGTAGTACATACAGATTGAAAGGAAGGTAAAAAGCTCTGAGGCAAAACACAGATGAATAGAAACAGGTTCAACTAAGTTATAAGAGCTAGTAGGAGAAGCCTAAACTAAGTCTGAGCTTTCATAATTAATAAGTCTCCCTGTCATGATTTGGAGGCTGGCTGTCCAAGAAAGCCTGCTACACTCTGTCATACCTGACTCATAAATTTAAAAATAAATTATAAGAAAAACAAAAAGCCTCCTACAGGGTAGACCACAAGGCCTCCAGTAGAGTCAGTCTGGCCAGAGCTTGAGGGAGGGCCCCAAAGGGCTGGAGGTGACCCAGGAAAAACATCCTCACCTATCTCCCTGACTCCCATTAGGAAGTATCAGACTAGCAGATATATTCCCATGTCAGAGTATGAGGCACCTTGGTACCTGTTCTGTGGTGACCCAAGATCTTGCCTGGCTAGTGCAGTCAATGCATGGTCTCTCCGCAGAAACACCAAAGAGATCCCTCACCAGTCTAGGTCCAGAAACCTCAGATAAGCCAGCCCTTAGCCCAGACAGGATGCTTCAGTCTCATACTAAGAATCTTGTGGGCTGGAGAGATGGCTCAGAGGTTAAGAGCACTGGCTGCTCTTCCAGAGGTCCTGAGTTCAATTCCCAGTGAGTTCAATTCCAGGTAACTACATGGAGGCACACAACCATCTATAAAGAGATCTGGTGCCCTCTTCTGGCCTGCAGTGCAGGCATGCATGCAGACAGAATACTGTATGCATAATAAATAAATAAATCTTTTTAAAAAAAAAGTATCTTGTGTGTTTCAAATGAATCGCATAAGACTCTCACAGGGTGCACTCTGAGTTGCACCCAAGTATGAAGAACCCCAGGAGAAAAACTGAGCCTGGAGTCCTTTGAAACACCAAGAACCTATAGTCTCTAAGGTAGCCCTGTCCTGGGAGTGGACAGTACCTGCTCCTGGTTCCTGGTTACTCTTGGGAATAGATACTTATAAGGCTCAGGGTGGAAGTAAGTGCTCTGGTGTCCTTTCTGGGAGAGCAGAAGGCCTACACTAGGAAGGTCCAGAAACATCTATTTGTTCATTCTCTCTCTCTCTCTCTCTCTCTCTCTCTCTCTCTCTCTCTCTCTCTCTTTTCTCTCCCTCCCTCACCCATTCACCACATTTTTTTCAAAATGTGTATGTTTTATCTGAAACACCCATATATTTGAATGTCCATGCACCATGTACATGCCTTGTGCCCACAGAGTCCAGAAAAAGGCATTGGATCACCCTGGAACTAGAGCTACAAATGGTTGTGAGCCACTCTGTGGTTGCTGGGTCCTCTGAAAGAGTAGCTAGTGCTCTTAATCACCTGAGTCATCTCTCCAACCTCTTTCCATATCTTTCAATATGTAGTTAGTGAACAGTGACCACAGGGGTCTCTTGTAGATCAATAATAGGGGAGATATCCTTATGCTATCCCAGCCTGCCTCCCCTTCACAGAACCAGGAGCACCTGGGGAAGCAAGTGTATGACAGGCCAGGAAGAAGGAGAAGACACATACTCTGAGGCCCAAATCAAATGTAAAACATGAAGCTGACCCTCATTGTGCCTTCCCTGAACCTTAGTTGCCCCTTCAGGCTTTCCTAGGAAGAAGTGAAAAGAGCTGAATTAGAGGCCAGTGTTCCTTCTTTCTCCCTTCCTTTATCCTTCCTTCCTTTCTCCCTTCCTTCCTTCCTTCCTTCCTTCCTTCCTTCCTTCCTTCCTTCCTCCCTCCCTCCCTCCCTCCCTGTCTGTCTGTCTACCTTCCTTTCTTCCTTTTTCCAGCCCGAGCAATACTGTGAGATATGAGTTGCTCAAGTTCAGACAACATAGCCCAGGCTTTTCCTCTTCAGCTGCTGAATGTCACATAGCAAGTCTATTCACATTCCCCCAAAAGAACACTGCTTAGATGTGGAAAGACACTGCAGGGCTTATGCTGAGTCTGGGAGTCCTTCACCAGCCTTATTAACTAGTACCACTTCTGAACCTTGAGCTAAAAGAAATATCTTAGCCATATTTTACACTTAAGAAAATGGGCACAAAGAGGTTAAATAATTTGAGCAAGACTACAAAACTGGTGAGTGACAAGCTGTGGTTCCCAAATGACCAGCTAAGTCCTGGGCTACTTTTCCTCAGCATGATTTCCATCTCCTGTGATGTCATCAGTGGCTGCTGCCTGCTTCCAGAACCAAAAGGCTCATGACTTCACCCCTTTGGCAGTCAAAATTCAGTTGGATACAATGGGAGTGGGCATTTTCTCCTTCAGTCTAACCCAAGTCTTTAGAATTGATTGGTCAGGAAGGCAGAATCTGTTCTGAGTAAGGGATGCTAAGGCTTGTGCTCACCCAACAAACCAGGCTGAGCGGTATGGTATGACCATTGGGTCATCCTGAGACATGCAAGGTACCCCAGAAGAGACAGAAACAGTTAAAGCTCCTAGGGTTGTGCCATCTGGCTAGTCTGCCTTTAGTTTCACATGCCTACTATGTGATTTGATCTCTGAGTGTGGATTAGAGTCTTAGTGTATGTGTGGCTTTCATGTGTGTTTAGCATGTTCCAGTAGGTAGTATGGTTGATGCGGTAGAGAAGGTGAATCCCCACACTCAAGGTATCTGTTACCATCTGCACACCCAAGCTACAGGTTGTTTCGACAATTAATGCCCATCCCAACAGCTATGTGGCTGGTCTCAAGGAACACCTGTGTTCTGAGAGTGGTGGGCCCCACCCAGTGTCTCTTAACTACAAACACTTGCAATCAGTGTTGGAGATAATAGCCGAGGAGATGGTAGCAAACAAAAATCCCTTCTAGCCTGGTGGGAGCCCAACTCTGAGCTCCAGGAGTCAGTGTGGCTCATGAGGTATCCAAGTGGGTCCTGACCCAAAACAGATCCCTTTCCCTTCCAAAACCTGCTACCCTATCACCAAAACTAGGGTAAGGAGCACAAGTCTCTTCTGCTAGACTCAGGCTGAGAAAGGCTCAATTGGCAAAGGGACCCTACATCTCTGTCTGCCCAAGAATTCCCCGTCCATTCTCAGAGCAAGTGTGGCTACCAACCCTTCAACTGAGCCACTCCCCTGCCACCATGCACATTCCCAGTGGCCTGCTAATAAAGAGAAGGCTTTACAGCCAGCCTCAGGCTACCTCCTGTTCTATGACTTGCTGGAGCTGTCACCATTTCATCTGTCCACCACACTCTCAGAGAAAGAATGGAGGCATTTGAACAAGAGCCCACCTTCAAGATACTAAGGGGTGCTTGCCATGGGCTCTGCTCTCTGTGCTGGCTCCTGAGGTTGAATGGTGATCATTCATGACAATCAGGGCAGGTCATTTTTTAGATCTGCTAGACTGAGAAGGGAACAAGTCTCTCCTGCTAGGGTGTTGTACATGTTGGACTGAACCTCAGAAAAACATTCCAGATAGTGTGTGGGGTGGGCCCCAGAGTATTTGGCACCACTGTGTGTTCAGGTGCAACATACCACGAAGTGAATTATGCATATTGACCACACCATAAATACATGGAACCAGGCAAGAAAGAGGCCAGCAAGGTCAAATCTTTTACACACTAACATACAGCTAACATGGAACAGGGTTCTGGCTTCTTTTCTGTTCTATGGCACTTGTTGACTGAGAGCTTGGTACACACGGGGCATGCCTCCCAGTGTGTATGAGCACACATAGGTATATGCACAGATGTACATGACTTCACATGCATTCTAAGTGCTGACATTGCAGCCCCTGCCATGTATAGGGCCTCTGAAATCTGTATTTATCTGCCCCATGGCTCTCAAGATCTTAACTTCATCATTTTCTTCTGTGCCAATGCCACCACCCATAGTACTATCTATCTGCCTTGTCTGTTCCTGACAAAACTTAATTAAGGCAGCATCCTGGGGGATGCTGCTCCTGAGTGTCCTGGGGGTGCTCTACTGGCAGCTTGTACGTCTATTAAAGTGGTATTGGAACTACCCAGTCACCAACCATGGCAGTGCCCATGCATGAGTGTAAACTCTTCCCATCTGTCACTCTATGTGACATGAATGCACATAGGTGAGGGTCTGGATGTTGTCAGCCTTAGGTATGGACTCCCCAACATTTATTTCAGCCTGAAATGTCTCCCTGGGTTTGGTCTCAGATGATACCTCATGATTTAATTTCTCCTAATCCCTGTACCTAGTCAGGACTTCTCAGATCTCAGTGGCACTGCTAAAGGAACAACAGACATTACTTGGAGCCCATGGTTGAGGTGAAAGGGAACTTTATAGGTCAGTCTGAGCTGGGTTGCAATGATAGGGCACCTCAGGAGGAAGGATCAAGTAGAATTCCAGGTAAGGAGTGGATACGAGCCTGCCAGGAGGGCATGCAGCCCTGGAAATGGCCAGGCTAGGGACTTGACCTCAACTCTGAAGTTATGAGAATGTGCAGGCCCAGCTCCTAAAAACGTTTCTCTCTGGGGTTGAGAAGGGGGATGGACTACTGTCGTTGCTGGACACACAGGGATGCTGAAGTCACATAGTGTTGAATCACCCTGCTCTGTGTCATAGGGAACCCTACAACGATCTACCCAGGAATTCTGGCCCTGCCTCCGGGCCAAATGTCATGCGCCAACATCTGGAAGCACTTGATGCATTTTCCTGGGAGAGCATCTGTGCTCTCTACAAGTTCAAATTTATTGAAGGCTGGGGCACCCCCTTTTATAAAATCCCCAGCCATAAATCCACTTCTAGCTGGATCATGGGATTCATTTGCACCATTTGAGTCATCTGGACATCCAGGACAAAATGGGCTTTAGACCAGCGAGTTCTGGGACTCAAGGAGGTGAGGGTACTTTGTGTGCTGCTGTGCTTCAGAGGGCTTTTCTAGCAGGGAGAGATAATGAGCTGTGCCTGACCTGACCCCATGTCCTCTCGGCATAATAGTATTGGTGGTGACTGCTTCTATTGTGCCTACTCCTCAGGTGTGCCAGCTGCTCAGGAATGATATCGCTTCCACTACATGGACATCTTGGCCCTACTCCTCACTGCCTGGGAGGACAGTCACCAAAGTCCTGGTGACCACTTTGTCTTGTCCTGTCACTATGACAGTGAGGGGTAAGCAGGGTAGGGACTGGTGGGCTGCTCCCCTCTATCCCACCAGCAAAGTGGTTTTATCCTGGGGTTCATCTGGTAAAAAGCCAGGAGTTAGCTGCCCAAGGCTGGCTACAAACAACTCCCTGCACAATAGATAGGCGGTGCCCCCTCAAGGCATACATGACAGGGTAGAAGGTGACAAGTATCTAAGCATGGCCTTGGATTTCTGGCACATCCAGAAGTCCCACCGTGGGATATATGGTAACTGCTATATCTTTAAGGGTGTCTGGGTTGCACAGAGTCCTGGCATCACCAATGGTGAGAGCTAATCCTCAGCAGGCATCTGGACATGAATATAAAGTCAGTTGTGCTGTGGATATCGTTCTGTATAAATAAAACACTGATTGGCCAGTGGCCAGGCAGGAAATATAGGTGGGACAAGCAGAGAAGAGAATTCTGGGAAGCGAAAGGCTGAGGAAGGGAGATACTGCCAGCCGCCGCCATGACAAGCAGCATGTGAAGATGCCGGTAAGCCATGAGCCACATGGCAAGGTATAGATTTATAGAAATGGATTAATATAAGATATAAGAACAGTTAGCAAGAAGCCTGCCACGGCCATACAGTCTGTAAGCAATATAAGTGTCTGTGTGTTTACTTGGTTGGGTCTGAGCTGCTGTGGGACTGGCGGGTGAGAGAGATTTGTCCTGACTGTGGGCCAGGCAGGACCAGAAAAACTCTAGCTACAGGGTTGGGCAGGTAGCCTCAACATCTCTTCCTTGGCTTCCCCAGGGATCAGCCTAGTCCTCAGAGCTAAAAGGCAAGATCATCTCCCTCTTTTGTCCTTGGAGGCTGGACTCAAGGTCATGGTTCATAGGTACGATCACACACCCTTCTAGAAAACAGTGGCTTTAGCTTCTGACCAAGGACTCAGAATACCATTGGAATTCTAGAAGTAAGCAGGGTTATTGGGCTTCTTGTCCAACCCAGGCACTGAGGTAGGGCAGGGCCTCAAGATGCAGTGAGCAGAATTGAAATTCCTTTTCCCCAAGACAAGGTGCCTTCACTTGGAAGTCCCTATGGCCTCTGCATTGATGGTGCTAAGGGCATGGATACAGGACTGCTGTATAACACCCCAAATACCAACCATGTGTAGGCAGGACTCTCAGCTTAAGTCCTTGCTGTCTCTTCAGGTATGCCTGGTGTCCTGCTTCTAGCAGCTTATGGTGGAAATCTGCTCCAGCTAGAGCCCAGTTCTGCAGTCACAAATGACACCCAGCCTGTGAGTGAGCCTGTCATCTCCTTTGGGATTACTGGGAGTCTCTAAGGCAGTCACTTCTAATGGGCCTTCTCCACAACTCCTCAGGTCACGGCTTCTACCGATTCTACCAGGACCTGGAAACCCACCAGCTTCCTTGTCTTTCCCACTGCCCCAGCCCTTGCAAGCGAGAGGGTTGGGAGTCAGGTATCAGTTCCCCCAGAGAGCACTACAGGATGACTGGTGGTCCTGTCTCTCCCAGGGTGTCTTTGTACAAATTCTTTGCAGGAACCTCCAGGTAGCCTTCAGCCAAGTCTACTGTGAGTCTCACAGAGCAGGTGGAAGTGGATCAGTCAATGTCTCTGGTGCTCCTCACATCCCACTGTACTATTGGCGTAGGGAGAGTGTGGCCATGCAAGCCCCTGTGCAAGACTGGATCGTGGCTATGCTTAGAAAGTAAAACCCATGGAGCTCAAGCTGGAGCAGGAGCCAGAGGTGGGCACACCCCCAGGGACCCATCCTGTCTCTCCTCTGCCAACCCCCTTATACTTCTGTCCCTACCCTAGAAGCAATGTGGCCAAGGTGAAAATTCTAAATCAGGAGCTTAACTACCATATTGTGGATGAGGCAACAGTATACTCTGAGGAGTGGTTAGAGAAATGCTGGGCTAGTTTTGGAAATAGAGCCTATGGCTAACCACTCTCACCTTTTCTGAGATGGCTGGGTAAAGGCAGACCCCCACAGTCCTGTTCACAGGTGGGGTACAAGAGGCCCTACTGGACTTATTGCCTGTCTGCCTACAGGTTCCACAGCTGTTGTGCCATGAGCAGCCTCTGGAGACGGTGGTTTGGCTCATCTATCCTGTCTGTGCTGAAGCTGCTACTGGATGTCACTACCCTTGCCCTGCTGCTGCTGGGTTTTCGCTGTCTCTGCTGGGGGAAGGTGTCCTGGCTGGGAGTCAATACTGCTTCAGGGCAGTCCCATACCACATCAGAGGCCAGCCAGAACCCTCCACCCCAAGCTTCAGAGGTCCAGCAGGAGATAACTCCACACAGATACTCCCAGGGTCTTTGGAAGAAGTTTCAGTGTAAGAATTGGGCTAAACTCCAGGCCCTTGAAATTTGTTTGCTTGTTTGTTTGTTTTTCAAGAGAGGGTTTCTTTATAGCCCTGGCTATCCTGGTACTTACTCTGTGTAGACCAAGCTGGCCTCGAACTCAGTGATCCTCCTGTCTCTACCTCCCAAGTGCTAGGATTAAAGGTGTATGCCGCCATTCCCCGGCTGTTTTTTTTTTTTTGTTTTGTTTTTTGTTTTTTTTTTGTTTTTTTTTTTTTGTCTGCTTGTTTGTTTTTTGGTTTTTGTTGTTGTTGTTTTTGAGAGAGGGTTTCTCTGTGTAGTCCTGGAGCTTGCTATATAGACCAGACTGGCCTCAAACTCAGAGATTCTCCTGCCTCTGCCTCCAAAGTACTGGGATTAAAGGCAAGCACCACCATCCCCGGCACTCCCTTGAGATCTTGACAACTGAAGTAACCCCAATAGGTCCCTCAGCCTAATGTTGGGAGCCATAGTAGCAGTGGGCTCCCTAGTTGCCCAGAGTGTGCCAGACTCTCTATTTGAGAGCCCAGAAAGCAGTACTAACTATCTGACCCATGCAGAAACCAAGTATATCCAACATACCAGGAACTCTCTACCCACCTATCCGACCAGGTATGGCCTCTTGGGTTGAGGGGGATCCCAAGACATGGCTGAGTAGTATCCTGGGACTCTCTAGACTCCTGAACTCTAATCTGTTTGGTTATTACATTTGTCTGTGCATGTTTCTGACACATGTCTATACACACACACACACACACACACACATATGTGTGACCATGTGTGTGTGTGTGTGTGTGTGTGTGTGTGTGTGTGTGTATCAGACAGAACCTATACTGGCTTTAAGGCAGCCTCTAGGTAAGCAGGAATAAAAGTAAATCTAAGCCAAGACATCTACTGACCTTGGGCTGCTCTACAATAAAATCAGTCATTCCATCTGCTGTCTTGCACATATATGTGTCTCCCCAATCACCTACACCAGGGTGATTTGCAAATCTCAATGTACCTTGAAACAGTATAGGTAAGGGACACTGGGTACAGATCAGGGATGCTAGCCCCAGCTCTTCTCACTGTGTTCCTCCTTATTCCTATCAAGGGATACAGTCTGATTCAGAGAAAGGCAGAGAGGAGAGGCCAGGGAACAGGGGCTAAGGGTGTCAGGTGTCAGTTTTTCTGAAAGCATCAGGCCCCTGGTGGCTGGGTTATATCCTCTTGGGAAGGGACAATGTTGGGACTCTGCTTCAGGCTGCTCCCAGACAAACCTTCAGCTGAGACAGAGCCAAGCAAGGCTTGATACAGCAATGAGCAGGCAGTGGATGCAAGCGGCAGAGATTTATTAAGTGAGAGTGATCAGAGCAGGAAGGAGTGGGGTCCTGCCAGCCCAAAGGTGGCAGGGTAGGTGGTGGGCAGAGCTCAAGCAGGAGGAAGAAGCCGATTCTGCTCTTTAGGGCCGCAGCCATCAAGCAAGGGAGTCAGATGCCCTGATCCAGTGCCTACCTTACTGTCCATGGGGGATCCCAGGGCAGTATTTGCATAGTGACCAGCTGAGTGCCCTTGACCTAACCAAGGGCTCCACGGTATGCAGAGGGGCCCAGCCTCTATCCTGGAACTCCTCCAGAAAAAGGGAAGTTGAAGGCATTGGTGGGTCCCCCAAATAAGGGACCACTGGACCTATCAGAGGCCCAGCCCAAGGAGTGAAGCTTGGGGGCAGGGCAAGGGAGATCTATGTGGGCCAGCAGCAGGAAGAGCTGGGATCAGGATGGTCCTTGAGAGTCCACAGGAAAAAAAAAAACGCAGACAAAGTCAGAATGAGGTCGTTGTAGAAAATCCTCTCAGTCAGTAACAAAGAACATTGGGCACAGGGTGGAAAGTGCCGGTTGCTTTAGGCATGGGCTCTGGCCCAGGTAAACCAGACAGTGCCTCTGGAGAAGGCAGGGATGGATTTAGGCCCTCAGGCACCAGGACCCAAGTGGCCAGCCACATGGCCTTGAGACGCCTGCGTCCAGCCTGGGTGGAAGGCCTGGGCCAAAGTTCCACCTCCCAGCACCATCAAAGCCCAACCTGGATGCTGGGGTCACTGAGTGAGGTACTCAGGTTGATTCCCTGGGTGGGCTGCCACTCCTGCCAGGGAAGGTGCTGGTGGCCAGCCACCAGCCCCAGGCTGGAGGAAGGGCTCTGGGGGTATGTAGGAAGGACCTAACTAGCAGGTCAGTGTTCTGGGGCAGTAAACATAGGGGCACAAGGTGAAATAGGCCCTGAGGGCAGAGGGGTACAAGGTGACATGGACCTCGAGAGTGGTTTGTGCCATGGACAGCCCAGACCCCTGAAGAAAGGACCACCTGAAGACAGAGGTTCCCCAGGTGAAATGAGGGGCAACAGGTGATGCAGCACCCCCCATCCCCCAAATGTGGGGCTTCAAGAGATTCAGTGCTTGGGTCCCTGTCCCCTGGCTGAGCATTAAAGCAGCCAGAAGGAGGGAAGAGCAGGAGAGTGGGGACTCCAGAAATGCCAAGGTCCTGGGCTGTCGGGATGGGCCACAGCTGTCACAGGCAGGGCTGTGGCTAGATAGGGGCTAGGATCTTCAGGGACATGCAGGATTTCTGGGCCGGGTAGGCTGGGGTCAGGGCAGGGGTCCCTCAGCTGCCCGGCCTGCCAGGCCCTAGCTTTCCTCCAGGTGGAGGCCAATGAACTCCTGGATGCACCTGCGGTACTGCAGCTCTGTAGGACTGCTGCCCGGCAGCGGGCCTGGCTGGCCAGGGGATGCCTCAGCTTCTCTCATCTCCTCAGCCATGCGGGCCAGGCGAAGCCTGGGGGTGGGGAACAGTGTGAGATGACTCTGTCCCCGCTCAGTCACTGTTCCTTTTACAGTGACTACGTCCCCAGGGCCCTGCCTGACTCACAATGTGACAATGTCAGCATTCGCTGCTTGAATGGCGATGGTCAATGGATCCTGCTGCTCCTGGTCCAGGGCATGCTGGTCAGCCCCCCGCTTCAGGAATAGACAGACCTGGCTGTGGGTGGAGGGGCATATTGAGATGGCTCGAAGTACAGGGGATGGTAGCAAAAGAGATACCACAGAACTCACCCAGTGTGGCCCAAGAGTGTAGCATGGTGCAAGGGTGCCCGGCCAAGGCTATCTCTTTGGTTCACATCAGCTCCATTTTGCAGAAGGAACTCACAGACAATCAAGGAACCCTACAGATGCAAGGAAATCAGACTGAACCAGGAAAGGACACTGGCAGGCCTGTGCACCCTAACCTCCTGCTATGAGCACCCCCAAAACAGGATCAAGCCTGTCTCCACCTAGAACAATAGAATGCACGCATAGGTGTGCAGTCTTGTGTGCAGAAGTCAGGTGTCCCGCCTATGCTCACCCCTAGCACAGCCTGCACCAGTGGCGTCTTGCCCTCATCTGCTGCATCAGCCCAGTTGACTTCAGCTCCATGGGCCAGTGCTGCAGCCAGTGCAGGGAGGTCACGAGCACGTGCTGCTTGGTGTGCCAGTAGCCCAGGATGCAGCTCGCGTACATCTGCCAGGCTCCAGGCCTCAGCTTCTCCATCTACCTCACTGCTGGACTCCTCGGACTCAGCACCCTCTGTAGGAGGGTGAAGAACAGGGAGTTGAAATCCTCAAGGGTGTTGAGATGACGGGCTACATGGAGGCAGAGAGGCGCACACCCACCTTCCTCGGTGACACTGTCCACCACAGAGCCTGTGCCAAAGGCCAGAACATCTGAACTGCCATCAGAGCTACCTCCAAGACCACTGTCACTGCTTAGACCTGTGGGACCACAGGAAAGGAAATCTTTAGCACTGGGGGTTCCAGAACACTGGAGGAAAGCTGGAGCCCGACCCACTCTTTAGCAGATTCTCCCCTTCAGGAGCAGAATTAGTCCCTATTAGGGAACACCATGGAGTGCTGCCCAGGCTGAAAAGAAAGGAGAGAAAAACAAACAATAGCTCTGAGGGACTGGGGGGGGGCAGCCTCCCTGCCCAGTACAACCCAGAGTGCCCCCTCCCAGCCCTCTAGGCTTTAAGGTCTTCACCCTGAAGTCACAGCCCAGCCAGCAAGGGAAGGAGCTGTAGAGCCTGGCTTAGGGTGCATACTACAGCGCCCTCTGCTGTCACCATTCAATCTCATTAGTTCAGGTGACTCGCAATTGCTCCCTGCCTACATCAACACCCGTGTGTGCACACAATCCACACTTCACACATTACACCTTTTTTTTTCCCCCCAGAGAGAGTCTTACAAATGTACCCAGGCTGACCTTGAATTCACTATGTAACACAGGATGGCCTTAAATGCATTACAACTCTGTCTTTGCCTGTGAGTGCTGAGGTTATAGGTGTAAACCACCATGCCCTGGTTTCTACATATTACTCTTGACAGTTGTGTGCTCAGCCTCAAGTTGGTGGTCAAGATAACTCTAGCCCAGTGGTTCTCAACCTTCCTAATGCTGCCACCCTGTAATACAGTTCTTCATATTGTGGTGATCCCCAACCATAAAATTATTTTGTTTTTTTATTTCATAATTATAATCTTGCTACTATTATGAATCGTAACGTAAATATCTGATATGTAGGATATCTGATATGCAATCCCAAAAGCAGTCAAGACCCACAGGTTGAGAACTGCTGCTCTAGCCCCTCTGGATGTTTTTCCAGTCTTAACCCTTTTGTGGTATCACCACTCTGTCCCAGTCTCTTCTTCAAGTTCTTGAGCAAGTTTTATCCACCTTGTCCACTCCCCAGAGCAGCCTCAACCGTTCCTCTTACATTACTTTGGCTGAGGATGGGGTATGGCTCTTGAGGGACACAGAGAGAATAGGAAGGGAATCTGTCCCAGCACTCACTGCGTGGACCAGCCCCAGCAGCCCCTGCATCAAAGTAAGAGAAGAGGGAGTCCAGCTCATCAGGGCAGAAGAGGGAGTCTCGGCGGAACTTGCGCTCCACAGTGCCAGCTGCAAAGGATAAGACACATGTTCAGATGATGAAACTGAGATTTGGGATGGGGAATGCCTCAGGTCATTTAGAGACAGTCAGAACTCCAAGGTGCTCCTGTAAAGCCCCGCCTCCAGCCTACCCAACCCTTTATAACACTGAGGGTTTGGTGGCTCCTCCCAGGGCTGCATTGAGCCTGTCCCCAAACCTGCCCAAGTACGTGAGCACAGGTGCAGCTGCTGGCAGCCCTCCCACCTGAGGACAAAGCAGCGATGGAGGGCAGGACAGGCTCAAGCCGGACCTTGCGGCGGGTAGTAGGGGCATGGGGGGAGCTGAGAGGGCGCTGGCACTTCTGTGCCCTCCAGCGTCTTGGGGCTTCCCGGACTGGTGCAGAGGTCAACTTCCGCAGAAACTTCTTTTCAACGTATTTGTCCTTGATCCATGCTTCTTTGTCCTGCCTGGACCAGAGGTGAACATGAGACTACATCCATAGGCTGGGGCCCCCATGGCCAAGCTGGCTGTCCCCACCTCACCTGGAACTACTGGCTGTGGGTTTTCTAATGCCTGGGCCCTCACACTGGGCCTCATAGATCTGGTTCATGGTGCTATTTCCAAGCTCACACATCAGCTGTGGGGTACAGTGTATGTGGATGTGAGTCCAAGTTCAGAAACCTAAGTCCCACCCTTGCCTCCTCAGGGCTCCAGTGGGCTTCATCTTCAAGAGCCCGTTCACATACCTTTAGCAGCTCTGGCTCCCAGGAATCCAGTGTCAGGGACCGTACCTTGGAGCAGTGAACACCCAAGCTCCTGGACAGAAAGGGGACAGAGAAGAGCAAAGGTATGACTCTATCCAGAACCTCGGCCAGCCCTGTCTAGCCAGAGTCAAGAAGGACTACCTGTGGATGCCTGAGCACTCAATACAGAGCAGCACACCCAGGTTGATGCTGGCCCAGCGAGGATCTGGCTGGCCACAGTCACCACACTGGCTGTTGCCAGCCACACTCTGCACACGCTGCAGCACGCTCTCGCCCTTGACTCCACGTTCCCGAGAGTCCGTGGTGGAATCGATGCTACTTGTTGACGGTGATGCTGTGCGGTCCAGCCTCTGGTGAATGGTGTGAGGAGGCACTCAGCCCTTCAGGAGCTTGTCTCAACTCCCCAGGAGATCCCCAGTTAGAAGGGTCAGCATAGACTGGGCCCCTTAAACACAAATCTGCATGCATGTACACATGCAAACAGGACACATACACACATGCACACACGAGCTACACAAGCATGAATGTGGCCTAGAGGAGCTGTTTCGGGAGTACATAGATACACTTATGTGGAAGCAGCACACCTCACTATAGCAGCTGTCTGGACTTTCCCGGTAGGCAGAGGCAATGCTAGCCTGCACAGCTTGAACCCAAGCCTGTCTCAGCTTCTCAGAGTCAGCCTGCAGCATACAGCTCCTGTAGGAAGGGGCTGGTCAGACTGGGTAAGCAGGGCTTTCCCCAACCCTTCCTGGGGCTGGGCCTCCTCACTTGGTAGGTGACACAACTTCAAAGCAGAACCTCCGTTCAATGTCCTCACATGGCTTCACAGAGCATAGACGTAGGTCATCTACCACCACAGTCAGTGCATCCTGTTGGCAGTACAAGCTTACCACTCTCATACCCATTTTCTCCTTTATCTTAGGCTCAAGCAATGTGTT